GGTTCAATTTGTGACAGCACATAAGGGTTCCCCCCCAGCACTGCCAGTAATGATGCCTGAGCTCAGACCCAAAAGTAAGTAGGAAGCCCTGTGTGCTCTGGCCCCAAAACGACAATTAAAAATGATAATGATAAATTTAAAATGTCCTACACAAAGCAGCTGGAGAGAGATTACAGCGGGCGAGGAGCTTGTTTTGCAACTCAGATTTTATTACCAGCATCCCAAATGCTTCCCTGAGCACTGCCAGGAGCGATGCCTGAGCGCAGAGGCAGGAGTAACCCCACAACTTATGCAACTTTCTACGTAAGTTCTGTTCAGTCAAAACTACAATGTTGGGATGGAGCAATAGCACAGCGGGTAGGGCGTTTGCCTTGCACGCCGCTGACCCGGTTCGATTCCCAGCATCCCATATGGTCCCCCGAGCACTGCCAGGAGTAATTCCTGAGTGCATGAACAGGAGTAAACCCTGTGCATCCCCGGGCATGACCCAAAAAGCAAAGCAAACAAACAAACAAATTACATTGTTTCCTTTAAAAATCAATGAATAAGTCTTTCCGTAGCAGCACTAAGTTCATCACAGGGTGAGGGGCCGCCACTCCTTCCCCCACCCCTGGTCACCTTCACAGAGCAACCCGGGGCTCACAAGGCGGAGACAGCGGGGGTTCAGGGCGCTCAGACTGACCACCCGGCGGTCAGCGAGGAAACCGGCCCTCCAGGAGGGCCTGATCCCCCTAGTAGCACCTAACCCGCCTCAAACCCGCTCCTCACCCTGAATGGCACCTGGGACCCAAACTGCCAACACCATTGGGGGGTAGGGGGTGGAGGGTGAGGGGGGAGCGGGGGTGAGGGGGAAGACCCGGATTGCATGACGTCATTTTCATTTCCGGTCAGAGCCTTAAAGGGGACAATGAGATTCTGGGGAAAATAATCAATCACCAGGATGCTGAAAGCAGTGATGCTGAAGCCAGCATCACTGGAGATGCAGAGAGGAACTGGCCTGTCAGTAACCCAGAGTTAGAGAGCCGCTGGAGCAGGGGTAAAGGCTAGTGAGAATATCAGAGAGCACTGTACAATGAACACTACCCCCTTGAATACACGGGAGCAGTGAACATTCATCTACCAAGAAAAACTGCCCAGGAGGCAGTTTCACAAACAGGACTGCAAACCCAGAGTATGACGCCAGAGTGGGCAAAAGACAGTAAAGTGAGTGCCTTGCACACAATCCACCCAGATTAACCCCAGTTATCCATAAGGTCCCCCAGGCACCGACCGCAGGAATTCTTGAGTAAACCACAAAGATGTCGTACAGAAATCAAAACAACACAGAAAAAAGAAAAGGTTTGGAAAAACCACCCACCTGCCAGTATCACTCCACCGGGTGGTCCCGCCCCATATGGCAGCCAATGAAAGGACAGGCGACAACTGGGTCTCTTGAATTAAGGGGACTGAGGCCCTGCCCAACAGAGCTTAGAGGTTCTACACTCCTGATGTCCTGGCCAAAGGCTGTAGGACAGGGCCCAGCGCAGTCCTGTGTTGGGAGGGTCAAGAAGCCAATCCCCTACCCTCCCCCCCCCCCCCCCGCAGATCCCGCACTCCCAAGGCTCAGCCCCACCCCACCCCCATACCCCCATCGAGGAGCTGGAGGCGATGGTGGCCACAGGGCCTCCACAGGATCATGCACGCACACCCGCGACCCCTGCACCCTCCAAAGCCTCCGCCACGCCTTGGTCCCTGCCTCCTAGATATCGGGGGAACAAGTGAAAAATAAGCACTAAAGCGCCCCCCAAACTGATGCGGCACCAGTGCTCACTGTGGAGTCAGGTTGCTCAGGCGCTCACAGGTCGCTGTGATAAAACCTGGATTCAGATTCCCCCTTCCACCCGTTTGCCAACTTGACCAGTGACAGCCTGACTGACATGACTGTTGTCAGGGGGAAAAAAAAAATACATCCTAAGGCCAGGGACTGTGACATCACTTCCGTTTCCACGAGCTGCCTTTAAGGGCCAGGCTCCAGGTGTGGAGAGAATCTTTTTGCCCACCCAGGTGAATCTGTGCGGAAAGGGGGATGGACTTGGGTAAAAGAGTGGAAAGGAAGCTGCTGGAGTGGCCGGTCACACAAGGGGGGCAGTACTGTCCAGTCAAACTGAACCCATGTTCTCACACACAAGTCCATCAGGAAAAGGACGCAGGTTGATTCAAGCAGGTAGTGGGTAGGGCAGAGGTCAACAATGAGTTTCTGGGGGGAAAAGCACTGTAGCACTGTCCTCCCACTGTTCATTGATGGCTCCAGTGGGCACCAGTAATATCTCCATTGTGAGACTTGTTAGTTTTTGGCATATCAAATATGTCACGGGGAGCTTGCCAGGCTCTGCCGTGTGGGCGGGATATTCTTGGTAGCTTGCCGGGCTCTCCGAGAGGAACAGAGGAATCGAACCCAGGTCGACCGTGTGCAAGGTAAATGCCCTACCTGCTGTGCTAATCGCTCCAGCCCTCTAAACACACTATTTAGAAAAAAAGTAAAAGGTAACAAGGACAGAGAGGGAGCTCGGCCTGAACTTGTCAGGAATGACCTAAGCAAGGGTCAGACCCTCAGGAGAGCCAAGGGCCACGGTCCTCAGTCTGTTGTGCCGCCTCCAGACCTGCAGAGCTGACGAGCTGTGCATGCAGGTGCTGGATGCCTGGGCCCATCTTGTCACCATACCCTTGACCCTGCTCTGACCCTCACGCTCCTTAGCGTCCTCTATTCTGGGCCATGGGCACTGCAGATCAGAAGGGGTTCCCACCACAGGGGCCAGCGCTGGGGAAGGACAAGGCTAATCTGACCTTCATTTTTCCTCTCTCTGTCTCCGCCAATCCCAAGGGAGGCGGCAGAGATGCGACATCACCTGTTTATCCAGTAGAGGGTGCCGTCCCTTCACGCTGGACAGAGAACAGCGGCAACTTCTCCTCCTGGGGGAAGTAGGGACGGCCTCAAGTTCGGACAGCAAAATGGGATGGAAAGCCAGGAAAGGGCAGCAAAACATACAGATCATTTTGTAGCCTTACTTGGCCTTTCAGACAAGGGGCTGGAGCGATAGCACAGCGGGTAGGGCATCTGCCTTGCACGCAGCCAACATGGCCAACCCGAGTTCGATTCCTCCGCCCCTCTCGGAGAGCCCGGCAAGCTACCGAGAGTATTCGATATGCCAGACACAGTAACAACAAAGTCTCCAATGGAGATGTTACTGGGCCCGCTCGAGCAAATCGACGATCAACGGGAGGGCCTTTTACTTGGCCTTTCAGACAAACCTAAATCATCTTTTTTTTTTTTTTTATGTAGGAGTACTGCTATTTATTCAGCCACTGACTAGGCTGATTGAATTTTGCATGAACTCCACCAAACCTAAATCATTTTTAACATCCTTTCTGACTACTTGATTTTTAGGATTTAACTGCTTCCAAAGGCAAAAGTTTTGTTTTCTCCTAATACTACTGAAATTAGGGGGCGGGAACCAAGAATGTGATGGCCCTTTATTAGTAGTAATCACAATTGAATGGAATTGTTTGCTGAGATGGGGGAGTTTGGGGGCTCTGCTATGTTGCCACTATTTGTAAAACATTTAATTTCTGGGGCTAGTTCCTTCTTTTCCAAAAACCTGAAAATGTCTTTTTATGCACAGTAATTGGGGCCCCTTGGTTGGGGGGTTGAGTTTCCCTCTCCGCCCCAACCAGAGCCCCGGCAGATAAAGACCTCCAGGACCCAGTCACAGCCATGCTGGGACCACTCTCCACACACTTGGACAAGCCTCGCACATGAAGGAACTGGCAGAGGAACCCAGGTGTGTGGGACCCAAGGCTGAGGTCTCCAAGCCTGCTTGGTTTGGGACTGGGCATCCTCCAGCCAGATCCCCCATCTTCCAGCAGCGAGAGTGACACCCACCAACTGCCATGTAACCCCATCAACGGCCAAGCTCCAGGGACTATAAAACCAAGCTCCTGGAAGCATGCAGCATTGACCTCTTATTGTCTAGTTCTCGCTGAGAACCCACAGGCTACGGAGAGTATCCTGCCCGCATATATGCCTGACTGGGAACACCTGTAAAGGTGATTAAAGGCTGCCCCAAAAGCCTCCATCCCTCTGAGATAGCCAGGCAGGCTACTGAGAGTATCCTGCCCACTCGGCAGAGCCTGGCAGGTTACCTGTGGCATACTCCATATGCCAAAAACAGTAACAATGATGGTCCTCATTCCCTGAAAGAATTGAAAGAGCCCCCAATATGCCATTAAGCTACACTAGCACGTGACGGGGACAAATGGAAACGTTACTGGCACCTGCTCGAGCAAATAGATGAATAACAGGATGATAATGACAGTGATGCACAGTAAAATTCATTTAAACTGTCTCCAATCCATCCTATTAAAGAGCCTTCCCAGGGCTGTTTTCATGTTATTTTTCTAAAATATTTATCTTCGGGGCTGGAGCAATAGCACAGCGAGTAGGGCGTTTGCCTTGCACGCAGCCAACATGGTCGACCCAGGTTCGATTCCCAGCATCCCATATGGTCCCCCGAGCACCGCCAGAAGTAATTCCTGAGTGCATGAGCCAGGAGTAACCCCTGAGCATCGCCGGGTGTGACCCAAAAAGCAAAAAAAATAATTAAAATATTTATCTTCGATGCTTATGTAAAACTAAGACAAATATGATGCAAGGAGTACAGAAATGATCCAGCTGTTAAGTGTTTGCTTGCACAAGACTGAGTGGGATTCTAAGCCCAGTACCACATGCGGATATCTGCATCCCCACCCCCACCTCCCACCCCCAGGATCACTGAGCTCAGTCAGGTGTAAGACCTGAGCACAGTGGGATGTGGCTACCCAAAACATAACACAAGTTCTGAAGAATGAAGGTCTGCCTGTAATTCCTGAGTGCATGAGCCAGGAGTAACCCCTGAGCATCGCCGGGTGTGACCCCCCCCCCAAAAAAAAACCACACAAAGGAAATTTGCTTTACTGTAGGGCCTCTTCTGATCTTAGGGGTGATTCCTAGGGGATCAAGTCATCTAGTATGAATTTTACTATGTTTACTAAGGCTTGGGGGGAACATGAAGCCCTGCCCGCATTCATTACATAAACAATATTTCTCCCCAGTATGAATTTTCATATGCCAAGTGAGGCCAGAGGAATGAATCAAAGCCTTCCCAAATTCCTTACATATGTAAGACTTCTCCCCATGCATTTTCAAATGCACAGTAAGGCCTGAGAGCAGAGAGGCCTTTCCACATGTCTGACATTTATGAATTTTCCTGTGATTATGAAGGTTTCCAGGTTGAAAGGCCTTCACACATTCCTTACAGACATGAGGTTCTCTCCAGTATGAATCTTCTTATGACTATGAAGACTTGAAGAATGACAATATGCCTTCCCACATTCCTTACATACATACGACTTCTCTCCCATGTGGAGGTTCGAATGGTCACACCAGGGTGACGCCTGACTCAAAGTTTGTCCTTGCTGTTGACAGTCCTGTGGATTCTGTCCACTGTGGGTTTCTAAGAGAACTTAACAGTGCTGAGAACACGGGAAGGCTTCCCCACATTCCTTCTACTTGGGACAGGTTCAGTCCACAGTGATTTGTCTTGTGGGCCTGTTGGTGTGATAGACACATTATAAAATTGCTCATCCCTCACTGTCTGGGGTTGCCTCACTGGGGGAAGTTGTGTCTATGGATTGGATGCAAGAAGGAATTTCTCCCAGGGGAGGGCTTCTTCAGAGCATGAACATCTTCTCCACTCTGTTCACCCTCAGAAGACATCCACCCTGTCTTGGAATCCTCATGGAGATCAGGACACGTTTGCTCACTTAAGACACAGCCACAGTGTGCAGGATCAGAGACATCCAACCTTGGCTGGCTGCTTCCCTGTAGAACAACAGAGGAGGATTAGAATTATTGTTCTATTTGTTATGGTTCCGTGTCAGAAGAAAATGAGTCCTGCAGGTTGGTTTCTAACATTTCCACCACACAAATGCAACTCCTGACACAGGTATGGCTTTTCCATGGAAGGACGTAATGTTTCTGCATGATGAATGCATAAAACTGAATAATGCAGGGTCTTTAAGCTATGTGGGGTTTTTGTTTTGTTTTGTTTTGTTTTTGCAGTGTCTCCTGCCCCCGCACCTGGCTGTCCTTGCTGGGACCCTTGGAGGGGAGCGGGTTGAGTTCCCCTCCCCACCCCGACCAGGGCTCCGGCAGCCAAAGACCTCCAGAACCAGTCACCACCATGCTGAGATCACTCTCCGCACACATGAAGGTACCGGCAGAGGAACAAAGGCAAGCCGGTCCCGGGGCTGAGATCCCCAAGCCTACTCGGATCGGGGCTGAGCATCCTCCACCCAGATCCTCCAAATTCCAGTAGGCGGGGGTCACACCCACCAACTGGCCCCCTGGCACCGTGTAATCCCATTAACGGCCAAGACTCAGGGACTATAAAATCCAGCTCCTGCGGCCGTGCGACATCTTATTATCTCATTCCTACTTTGGACAAACTGGCAGGCTGCCGAATGTAGCCAGCCCACATGGCAGAGTCTGGCAAACTCCCCGTGGCGTACCCAATATGCCAAATACCAGTAACAATGATGGGTCTCATTCTCCTAACTCTGAAAGAGCCTGGAATATGGCACTTTTTAAAAAAAATCTCAGGGCTAGGACGAAGGAGACGTTACTGGGGCCGGCTCGAGGCAATCGACGAATAACAGGATGGTCGTGATCGTGATCGTGATCACCAACTGAATGAACAGGTACATTAAGCGGAAATTAAGTCCCTCTGCAGAACACTAAAGCACTAGTTTCAAGCAAAATTAAATACACCCGGGTCTGGGTTCAGTTCTCGCTCAGTGTGGAGATACTGATGCATGTGTGAAGGTAATGCTGCATCCCCACACAGATGAAATAGAGCACCTGGGCCATTAAAAACATCTCACCAGAAGCAGATTCCTCTCCAGGATCAATGACGGTTTTTGTTCTTTTTTTGCAGTTTGCATTTATTTTGAGGGAGGCCACACCAAGTGATGTTCAAGAATCACTGGTGTGGGTCTCTGGGGACCACATGGGGTGCTGGGGATGGAGCCTAGGTTTCCATCCCTGTGCAAAACAAATTCCCCTCCCACTGCACTATTACTAAGGCTGACAAATCAGTTCTTTTAAACAATTACCACCTGTGCTTACTTTCAATCAGTCAAAAATCACAGTATTTCTTCTGTATTAAAAATAATTGGAGGGGCTGGAGCAATAGCACAGCGGGTAGGGCGTTTGCCTTGCACACAGCCAACCCGGGTTCGATTCCCAGCATCCCATATGGTCCCCTGAGCACCACCAGGGTTAATTCCTGAACGCAGAGCCAGGAGGAACCCCTGTGCATTGCCGGATGTGACCCAAAAAGCAAAAAAAAAAAAGGAAAATAAATAAATAAAAATAATTGGAATTGCAGACAGAGTGATAGTACAGCAGAAACAACATTTGCGTTGCACGTGGCTGACCTGGGTTCTATCCCTAGCATTTCACATAATCCCCTGAGCACAGTGAAAAGTAATTCCTGAGAGCAGAGCCAGGAGTAACTCCTGAGCACCTCTAGGTGTGACAGAAAAAGGGAGAAAAAAAAAAGTTAAAAAAAATTGAATAAAAAAGAATTAAGAAGAATTTATTTTGATTTTAAATGGACTGATTTTAGCACCCAGTACTGCTAAGGGACAGAGCTCTACTCCCAGAGTTAGCTTTAAGATTTCCTCCTTGCAGGATCCAGAGACCCTATGTGTGGTAGCAGGGATGAGCCCAGACCCCCACCTTTCAAGTAACAAACATTACGTGCATTGAGCATCCCTCGGCATAACAGTATTTATTTCAAACGTGTGAATCTTACCAGCACACTTGCATTCAGTGACCTCGTTCCCAAATCAAGTTGTGGCAATGCCAAATCCTAAAGCTGTGGTTTGAGTTCTAAAATCAAACACAATATGTAATGGAATATCTAATTACATATTACAATATGTAATATGTAATTAGTCAAGGGTCAAATGGAATGCATTTGAAAGAGGCCAAGCAGGTGGAAGATATCTTTTTTTTTTTTTTTTTGCTTTTTTGGGGTCACACCTGGCCAATGCTCCGGGGTTCCTCCTGACTCTGCACTCAGGAATTACTCCTGGCAGTGCTCAGGGGGACCATATGGAATGCTGGGGATCGAATCAGGGTTGGCCACGTGCATGGCAAACACCCTACCCACTGTACTACAACTCCAGTGCCAGGTAGTGGATATCTTTATGGTTCTCACAGTCCAAACTGTTGGGGACTGGCGTTGGTAGCCCTGCTTGTTTTCCCTGAGAAGGGAATGAGCAGAGGAAAAACTGGGTGTGTAGGAGCACCATGCCCTAGCAGCTGACCCTGTTAATGGGGGGGCCAAAGGGAAGGCTGCACCTGATCCACCTTCGCCGGGCCAAGAGCCACATTCTCATTCCTGAGAGAGTTCAAGGAAGTGCCCGCATGCGCAGCTGCAAAACAGAATAACAGATAACGTAGCATGCACAACTTGTAACCCTTGGCTCTCCCACAGAGTGTTCACTACATACAATAAAAGAAAATGAGGGGCTGGAGCAATAGCACAGCAGGTAGGGCGTTTGCCTTGCACGCGGCCGATCCGGGTTCGATTCCCAGCATCCCATAGGGTCCCCTGAGCACCGCCAGGGGTAATTCCCGAGCACAGAGCCAGGAGTAACCCCTGAGCATCGCCGGGGGTGACCCAAAAAGGAAAAAAAAAAAGAGCTTTGCAATAAAGTTGCTGTATATTTCATACCCCTACCGGTCTTTCAGCTCTCATTCCCTCTCTCCGGCCGAAGTTCGATTCGGCTGCACAGGTGTCAGCACCAAACAGGACAACAGGAAAGGGAAGGCCTGTTGTGAGGATCACTTCGAGAAGCTTGGCAATCCCCGAACTAGCTTTTGGGTTTTGATTTTTGACCAGACCCAGTGATGTCTGAGGGACGATATGGATGCATGGGATTAAGTCTGGGTGGGCCATTTGCAAGGCAGTCTGCTTGCTATTCTACCTCTCTGGCTCCAATCAGCTTTCTTATGGACTCCCTCATTCATTCACTATTTGAACATTAAAAAAAAAAAATTATTAGTGGAAGGAGAAAACAGCAGTTAGGGTATTTTCCCTGCATGAGGCTGACAGGGGGCTAATTCCTGAGCACCGCCAAAAATAATACCTAAAAACAGCCAGGAATAACTGCTGAGCAACTCCTGGCCCGAAATGAAGGTAAGTTTGTTAATATACTGAAAAACCACGCTAATGCTAATAATCTGAGGGCAAAGATAAGCATGACAGAGCAGACACAGGGACGTTCAGCTACTCCTGAAAAGGGCACCCCGACATTGCAGGATGTACAGCCAGGTTGATGAGGCACAGATGGGGGACAGGGCTGAGAATCCCATGGGTTATTTTCCATACTTTGTGAGTTCGCAAGGTAAAATGAAGGGGTTGCTGTGACAACCCTTGTGTATTCGGCGGCCCTGAGCCGCCTCCCCAACTCTCCAGGCCTTCCCAACAGAGAGACAGAGAGACAGGGAGATGAGGTGGTACGAATAGCCCTTTTAATGCAGAGGGGCTAGCAGAGTTACAGAACAGATGAGGGGGCATGAGGTAAGGACATAGGTGTGATTGGTCATTCACAGAGATAAACATTTGGCAGAGGAAATTCTCTTGGGGAGATTAACTGAAGCAGACACTTTGTCTCCCAGGGACATCTACATTGCTTTTATCTTTCCCTCTAGTTGTATATGTTATCAATACTTGCAGTTGTTTGGATAAACAGTAAGAGACAAGGATCCCAAAACTTAGTTCTCTGGGCTCTGAGAGCAAGCAAGGCTTTTTCCATAAATCCCAGACGAAGTTTTCAGACCAGTTGTCCTTCCCCAGAGGGGTCCTGTCTCTTAAGTCATAACAGGTGGCATCAAGATCATGCATTTAGGCTTTCTAGATTGTCCCATTTCGATACCAGGTAGCTTTGCCACTCACCCCGGGTCCATCCCAGTCCCAGGGTGGGACCTCCCTTTTGGGGTGTTAGGAACTACAGCAACTGAAGCCTGAGTCAAGTAATTATGACCAAGCAATTATGCCCAGGAGTAGATATATTTCAGAGTCAATCAACTCCCAAATACTAGGAGCATAGCATTAACGGTCTTTCTGTGTTGAGCCAAAAACATTGCTCTATAGTAAAACATAAAAAGGCTGAAGAAAAAAAAAATAGAAAAGCAGATACAAATACAAAGCACTTCAAATACAAAGCAATACAAATACAAAGTTCAGAATTACCAGAAAGTTTTGGCTTGTAAGTAATCAAGATTGACTTGGGGAACTGAGACAATGAGAGGCCAAATACAAATGAAAGGCTAAAGCTCTCAGATTAGGGATGCTAGCAAAAGCATGGTAAGCTTCCCTGTGAGGAGAAGAGGGCAATTCGCTGAGGAAGCACTTTGGGTTAATAGCGTTACTGGTGCCCGTTCGAGCAAATCGATGAACAATGGGAGGACAGTGGACAGGGATGTTAGCAAGGGCATGACAAACTTCTCTGGGAGGAGGAAAAGGGGCAATTCATTAATGAAGCCTTGAAGCACTTAGGGTTAGTATCCAACAATAACTGACAGGTGAAGAATAATGTCAACACCAAAGAAACAAAGTACAGATCATTCTGTGTTGGACAATCCAGGGAATGAAGGGCACCGTGAGCATGGCACAGACCCATAGATCCAGGAGCTTGAGGCCCCCGGGGTCAGCAGCGCGTTTCACACACTGCCCAGAGCCTGAGCTAGGGAGGATCCTCAGACACTCACCTGCACACGCACACGCCTCTCCTCCCTGGCTTCAGGGCTCCTCCTTCCAGTCAAAAGATCATGGAAGTCTTCACCCGGGAATGCTCTGAATCCCACAGAGGAGGCATGGATTAGTGACAAGAAAAAGGCAACAGGACAGCTCCCTGTGTCCCTACAAAAATCGGGACACTACTGAAAAGGCAATGAACAGAATCTTCACTCCCGATATGTCAGAGATTTCTGGTTATTAGAGAGATAAGACCCGTGTTTTAATTTAAGAGTGAAATATGCGGACCCCCAGAAAACACCACAGCTCAGGCCTTGCAATGGAGTTTGATTTTGGTTTCTGTTTGTTTTGTTTTTGGGTCACACCCAGCGATGCTCAGGGTTCCTCCTGGCTCTACACTCAGGAATTACTCCTGGTATTTCTTGGGAAACCGTATGGAATCCCGGGAGTTGAACCCAGGTCATCTGCATGCAAGGCAAATGCCTCACCCACTTTACTATTGCTCAGACCCCGACAGGGGTTTGATATCAGCACAAGATATTCAGGGGTTACTCCTGACTCTCTACTCAGCAATCACCTCTGGTGGTGCCCAGGGACCACCTGAAATACAATATACTGGACCCGCATCCACTGTTTACTAGACACTCACCTTCCCCACTCTGCTGTCTCTCTAGGCCTGGCACCATATGAAGATTCCCAAACCCCTCTCGTAGTTATCACTAAGTGATTCAAACCCAAGACCTTAATAAATCCAAAAATGGCCAAAGATGGCAAGAACCCCCCCCCCAATTTTTTTCTATTGTTTTTTGTTTGTTTTTCTTTTTGGATCACACTCGGCGAAGCTGAGGGGTTACTCCTGGCTTTGCAATCAGAAATTACTCCTCGTGGTGCTCAGGGGACCATGTGGGATGCTGGGAATCAAACCCGGGTTGGCTGCATGCAAGGCAAACACCCTACCCGCTGTGCTATCGCTCCTGTTTCCCCTCTCCAACCAAGTCAATTTTTTTAAAACGGTAAAACAAACAAAAAAATCAGCCAGCACAGCAGGCAGGGTACTGGCCTTTCAGTCAGCCAGGGACAATCCAGGTTCAATCCCCGACATTCCATACAGTCTCTCTAGCCAGCCAGGAGTGATCCCTGAGTGCAGAGCCCAGAAGCAAACCCTTAGTTCTGATAAAGTCTCCCAAGATTCATTGGAAGTGACACCGAGCACTGAAACAGAGCAGCGTCTGATGGGGTGAACCCTAAGAAATAAATGAACTGTGGTGGAAGAGATATTACAGCGGGGAAGGTAAATGCACTGCACACACTTATGAATTTGACCCCAGGCAGTCCCCTATGGTCCCAAGCACGGCCAGGCTAATTTCTGAATACAACGGCAGGAATAAAACCTGAACATTGCCAGTTGTAACTATAAAGCCAAATCAAAGAAAACAAAACAAAAATACTTGAACTTGAGGGCCTGGTTTAATAATACTGTGGGTGGGGCACCAACCTTTAAAGCTGTTAAGTGGGTTCAATGCTCGGCACCCCCATGGCACTCCAAGGAGTGATCCTTTAGCACAGAGTCAGGAGGACTGTGGACTGGGCCCCCAACACAGAAGCAAAAGCAAAAGCAACACACGGAAGCTATATGTAGAAGTCAAGTCATTTAGCAACGGAAGGAAAGTATTTACAGGAAGGGAACTATTTACACTGAGCCAAAGCAGTGCATTGGGAGCTTAAGATGCATGTGGCTGATCCAGGTTCATCTCAAGCACCCCACAGGGTCCCACAAGCCCACAAAGAGTGATTCCTGACTACAGAGCTGGGAGTAAGCCCTGAGTATCACCAGATGAGCACCAAAGACAAAAACAGGGAAGGAACTCAAGAAACAGCTACCACACAGCTGTCAAACATTCCCGCCCTTCAGAATCACAGCTACTGTTGAACACACAGCTGCGACCCAGCCTCACGTTGCTCTCACCAATTGTCCATAGGTGCTGGTAGGTCTCCAGCATCACATGCCTGGAGAGCTTCCTCGGAGAGGAGTTCAAGCACATCCACTCATCTGGGGCTCAGGGCCACTTCAGGGGAGGTCACCACATCCTAAGCCTACGCCAGCACATACACGGGCCAGGAGTCAGGGCTGTCCACATGCCGTTCTCTGGGCAATGAGGACAGAAGTCACCAGGGCCGAACGGGGCCCAGGGCCTCTGCCCTCAGGAGAAACCAGCCCCAAAAAGACACTCCTGACTGACAGGCCTGAGAAATCACTCTAAGGCAGCCAGATCTGCTACAAGAAGGACCCAGAGTTGCCAACCTAGTGCTCAGTCACACAGGTCCAATCCCACCATAACTGGTCCAGTGAGCACTGCAGAGAGTAACACCTGAGCATACACCCTGCAGGACATAAAAGAGAGAGGCTGGGTTTGGCCCAAAACACTAAACACATACACACATACTCTGTACCCCCAAAATTCTATGTTCATGGGATGAGTAGAGGACATTCAATGTCCAGCAAGTGACTCTAAGCTGTGCATGGACATATGTGTCTGTAGGCCTCTGACTCATGGTTCAGGCCTGCCCCAAATCCCTTTCCAAGCAGGTAAAAGAGACATGAACTTCAATACCTCTGCCAGGCCCAGAGATCCTTTGCTCCATCTCCCTGGGACTGGTGCATGCCCAGAACTGAGGACACAGCAGCAAGTGAATGTGAGATTGTGTGATGGAGCAAGCGAGAATCTTCAGAGAAATCTCCAGAACGGGAAGGACAAAATAAGGGAAATGCATGTCCTGGGGCCTAGGTCACTGTAATTGCCAAGGTGCATAGGGGGCAGTATACCCCGGGGGCCTGTGATGCCTGTCAGATGGGAATCCGGAGCACAGAGCCAAGAGGAAGCCCTGGGCACCTCCACTGTGGCACAAAAATAAATATTAAAGAAACCAAAGCAGCAGGATGGAGTAACAGGACAGCGAGTCAAGGGATAGCAGGTAGGGCTGTGTGATTCCCGAAGTCCCATGTGGTCTCCCAAGCACTGCCAGGTGCAATTCTGGAGTGCAGATGAGGAGGAACCCAGAGAATCACTGGGTGTGGCCCTGCCCCCTCAGTACCCCTGCAAACAAAACAAAAATATTGCATGAGCCTCATTCAGCACTCACACCAGTTGTGGAGGAATATATTTGAAAACCATGTACACACCATCCTGATATCTAGGGTGTTAACAAAGGACCATGATATGAACTGTGTCTGACAGCAAGCTCTTCTGGAGTGAGTCTACTTTATAACTATAAATATTTCATATTGGGGGCAGCAATTATCAGCTTGCAGTGAGCTGAACCAAGTACAATACCTTATGGTACCCTGACCCCTGCCAGGAGTAAGACCTCCAATGTGGCTCAAAACTATAGCAACAACAAGACAGAAACTCTAACCAAACAGGAAAAGAAAAATTTGCAAAGACAAATTCTAGCGTGAAATATTTAAAGAGCATTACAGTTGAGTCTGACTGTTTTCTATGGTGCAGAAGCCCGTGTGTGTGTTTCATTCTGAGGCCATAACTGGCAGTGCTCAGAGGTTGGTTACTTACTCAGGGATCATTCCTGACAGATTTGGGGATCATGGGAAGCAAGGGTTCAGGATGGAAATGGCTGCATGCAATGCAAGTGCCCTACTCACTGTACTATTGCTCTGGCTCTTTCTAGGTAAATTTCTTCCCAGCACACCAGGAGTGACCCCTGAAGAGATTTCCCCTTCCCCCCCCCCAAAAAAAATGACCTTCCTTCAAAAAAACAAAAACAAAAAGACCCAACCCCCCCCTTTTTTTTTGCTTTTTGGGTCACACCCAGCGATGCTCAGGGGTTACTCCTGGCCTTGCACTCAGGAATTACTTCTGGCGGCGCTTGGTGGAACATATGGGATGCTGGGGATCGAACCCAGGTCAGCCGCCCTGTAAGGCAAACGCCCTACCCGCTCTGGCCCAGTAAAAGACCCAATCCTTTACCTGCAGTACTCACCCCAATAGCAGGGGGCCGTTGCACAGTCAGGGAAAAATGAAGAGTGGGGGTGCTTTGCTACTTGGAGGTAAAGTTGCAGATTATTTATCTGGAAAAAAAAAAAACACCAATGCTGAGGTCACACAGTTAAGTAGGTAGAATGCTTGCCTTGCTGACCCAATTCAAGCCTCGGCATCCCACAGGGCTTCCAGAGCAGTGTCAGGAAAAATTCCTGAGCATCCTGAGACAAGCATAAGCCCTGAGCATCTCCGGATATAGTTCCCCCAACTCCCAAAAACACTTGAAAATATCCCCAAAAGTGAACTTTTATTGGCAAACCCTACCCACCAGCCAGGACCACATCCCCGGGTGGCCCCAACCCATCACGGCAGCCAATGAAAGGACAGATGTAAAGGGAGTCTTTTGTCCTGTGTGGCTGCAGCGATACCACTGGAAATGAATTACAAGTTTTTACAGTAGCAATTTAGGGGCCAACAGCTCCAGGACAGGGAACTGCGCGGTGTTGGGAGTGTCCAGATGGCGGACGGCCAACACCAACACCCCTCCCACCCCACCCCCACCCCCGCCCTCTGCATGTCCCGCACACCCAAGGTCCGTTCCTCCCACGCTCAGCCCTGCACCCACGCCGCTGGGGAAAACTTGAAAATTCCAAAATCCTTACGTATGTCCCTATATATTACATGATCTTAAAAGAGTAATAGATTGGTAAATATTTGGCACAGCCAAACTGGATGTTTCCAATTGGCAAGAGAGGTATGAAAATTTAAAACTCAGGCCTTAACAAAGTTTGGAAGACCCATTGAGGCGTTACAAAATGTGCTTTTTGTTGCTCATATTACCTTTGCCTTTGGGTTCATTGTCTCATTCTTGAATGAATTTTAAAACCTCGTGCTGGGGCTGGAGCGACAGCACAGCAGGTAGGGCATTTTGCCTTGCACCGGGCAGACCTGGGTTTGATCCTGGGCATTCCATATGGTCCCTCAAGCACCGCCAGGAGTGATTCCTGAGTGCATGAACCAGGTGGAGCTTCTGTGCATCACCGCTGGGTGTGACCCAAAAAGCAAAAAAAAAAAGAAAAAAACCTTCGCGCCAAAAAATATAAAAATTAAAAATAAAACCTCGAGCACGGAAGTTTATTTTACTTAATTACGAAGCAGATTTGCGTGTTTATATTTAAGTATTTGCTCTGTAAATTTTTTTTTTCCGCTGCCCCATCGCGGAGCTGGAGGTGATGTGGTCACAGAGCCCCTCCCACCCCCCCAGGATCACGAACTCACACCCGCGATCCCTGCGCCACGGTACAGCCCCAACTGCAGCCCCCCAGAGCTCCGCGTCCCCCTAAAGCCTCTGCCGGCTTCAGGACCGCCTGGATATAGGTCACGAGTGAAAAACCAGCGGGACAAATAAAATAAAATTCTTTTTAATTTAAAACATAAACTTTCTCCATTCCACCACATTAAGAACCTTCCCAGGGGCTGGAGCAATAGCACAGCGGGTAGGGCGTTTGCCTTGCACGCGGCCGACCCGGGTTCGATTCCCAGTATCCCATAGGGTCCCCCGAGCACCGCCAGGAGTAATTCCTGAGTGCATGAGCCAGGAGTAACCCCTGTGCATCGCTGGGTGCGACCCAAAAAGCAAAAAAAAAAAAAAAAAAAAAAACAGCAAAAAGCGCCCCTCAAGCGGAGGTGGGGAAGGGCTCACAGAGCGGAGCCGGGGAGGCGCGGGGCGCCCCTGTCCGGCACAAAATCACAAAATCGGCCTTCAGAGTCCCCCTGCCACGCCAGGACGCCCCTTCTTACTTCTTCCACGTGAGCAATGGCGACCTGACCCCAGGGACCTGGCCGGCGACTGCAAGAAAAAACGCCTGGAGGACCCGGTCTGTGACGTCACTTCCATGCGTTTGGCGCCTTAAAGGGCCAGGCTGCAGGTGCAAGGAGAACCTGTTTGCACACGGAGGTGAATCTGTGCTGCAAGGGGGAAGCGGGTCACGTGGTGGGGGCGGGGAGGAGGAGGGTTAAAGGGGGGTGTAGAAAAAATACCTTGATCCTGTACTGTTCGCAGAACATTGAACCAATCTTCTCACCCAACCAAATTTTGTATTCAGGTTCCGATTAGCTTTGTGTATACATAAAGGATAGTTTTGAAAGTGTCACCTTAGAGGGCTGGAGCAATAGCACAGCGGGTAGGGCGTCTGCCTTGCACGCGGCCGACCTGAGTGCAGAGCCAGGAGGAACCCCTGTGCATCGCGGGGTGTGACCAAAAAAAAAATGGCATCTTAGGAAAATGACCTGGGAAGGTTCTTTCTTTTTTTTTTTTTTTTTTGCTTTTTGGGTCACATCCGGCAATGCACAGGGGTTACTCCTGGCTCTGCGCTAAGGAATTACCCCTGGCGGTGCTCAGGGGACCATATGGGATGCTGGGAATTGAACTCCGGTTGGCCGCGTGTAAGGCAAACGCCCTACCTGCTGTGCTATTGCTCCAGCCCCTGGGAAGGTTCTTAATGTGGTGGAATGGAGAAAGTTTATGTTTTAAATTGAAAAAAATTTTTTTTTATTTGTGTCACACCCAATGATGCTCATGATGTCCCCACTGGTGACTTATGTGAAGCGTGGAGGAGAAATACAGTCACTTTCTCCCCATCTGCCTCTGCCACCTCAACCCAGGGTTACTGGGTTCTTGTCTCACCTCGCATAAAAGAATTTCAGGAGTAGACAAGCAGTGAAGTAAAATAGATTTTATTTGGAGGGTTTTTTTTAATCTTTTTTTTTTATTGAATCACTGTGAGATACAGTTACAAGCTTTCATGTTTGAGTTACAATTATACAATGTTCAAACACTCATCCCACCACCAGTGCACATTCCCCACCACCAATCTCCTCTATATACTAACCCTTTCCCACTCTTCTCCTGCCTCCCTGGGCAGACAATTTCCCCCATACTCTCTCTCCCTATTTTTAGGCATTATGGTTTGCAATACACATACTGAGAGTATTTGGAGGTTTTAAAGGGAAGGAGGATGAGAAAGTGAGTAACGTGTTCAAGACAGAACCCTGGCTTCTCCAAAGGTGGCGAGAGTCCCTACAGATATCCCAGCATTAGGCAGGAAAGTATGAAAGTACACGTCTCAAGAGGGACAATGCGGGTGATACATGTGCTCAGGCACTGCATGTGCTCTGCCACAAGGGCTCAAACAGCACAGAGATTAGGGCAGCATATTCGAACCCGTCCTTTGTTCAAGGTGACCTTTATAGGGTTTCTCCAACCTGCCCCCACATGGTGCTTCTAACATGGGGTCCCTTCTAAAAGTCTGTTGCTGGGACTGGAGCAATAGCAGAGCGGGTAGGGTGTTTGCCTTGCATGCGGTCGACCCGGGTTCAATTCCCAGCATCTCATATGGTCCCCCTGAACACCGCCAGGGTTAATTCCTGAGCGCAGAGCCAGGAGTAACCCCTGTGCATTGCCAGGTGTGACCCAAAAAGCAAAAAAATAAATAAATAAATAAAATAAAATAAAAGTCTGTTGCTAAGGAGGTTGCCAAGGGGATTGGGAGTGGTGATGGTCTCCTTTGAAATTCCTTTTCTAGCCTTCTGTTTCCGCAGGAGCTTCTCTGGGTATGGGATAGATGAGGGTCTTAACTGGCCTTAGAGTCTGTTTTTTTCCCCATTTGCTGCAAGGTCAGCTTTTGCCATTGCCTTGGTAGGGGGGTTTCCATATCTGCCTGCTTAGCTACATCACATCTGGCTCCGCACTCAAGAATTACTCCCGTGCTAGGGGAAAAGGAATCTCAGATAGAGAAGAGAGCACCAAATAAAGGGTGTTGTGAGGATCCTCCCAGGGTGGGAGAAGCATGCTGAAAGTAGACTAGAGACCAAACATGACTGCCACTCTATGCCTCTCTTGCAAAACACAGGACCCAAAAGAAGAGAGAGAGAACAAGGGGGAATGCCCTACCACAGAGGCAGGGTGGGATGGGGGGGATGGGGGTGGAGGGATACTGGGATCCATGGTGGTGGAAAATGGGCACTGATGGAGGGATGGTTACTTGATCATTGTATAACTGAAACCCAAGCACAAAAATTTGTAAGTCTATAACTGTACCTCATGGTGTTTCACTAATAAAAAAGAAAAGAAAATAATAGAAATTGCTTTCTTTCCTAACTCTTTAAATAGTCCAATACAGAGGTTCAAACCACTTGGAAAAAAAAAAAGAATTTTACTCCTGGTAATACTCTAGGGGACCCTATGGGATACCGCAATTGAACCCAGGTTGGCCCTGTGCAAGGCAAGCGCCCTACCCTGCTGTATTATCTATCTGGCCCCAATTGAAGACAGTTCAAATGAACTTTACTGTTCATAGACACTTGAAAGGCTAGAAGGGACCCCTTGAATGAAATGTTTTACAAATGGTGGGAGTATAGGACAGCTCTCCAAGCTCCCCACATCCCAGCAGGCCATTCAGTTTATCTGTAATTAGTCACAAGCTTGGTCACATTTCTTGATCCCACTCTATCACTTTACTAATATTAGAGAAAAAAAAGGGAAATATTTGCATTTAAGAGTAGTAAAATCCCATTAATCTAATAGCTGAATGACAAAAATGATTTAGATCTGTCCAAAAGACCAATAAAGACTACAAAGTGACTGGTATGGTTTGCTACCCCTTACCCAATGTACGTGTCCATTCTCAGGGTCAGAGTATATTCTAGATTTTCATATATTTGTATATGTACATATATTATGCATATAGCACTGTAGCACTGTCATCCCGTTGTTCATCGATTCGCTCAAGCGGGCCCAGTAACGTCTCCATTGTGAGACTTGTTGTTACTGTGCTTGGCACATTGAATACGTCACAGATAGCTTGCCAGCTGAGATACTCTCGGTAGCCTGCCAGGCTCTCCGAGAGGGCGGAGGATTATATCTCACTGAAAGAATCCATATTAGGGCATTAAATTCTTGTATGCTTCAGCTAACTTGCAACATTGCTTTCTGTAAAACTGCTTGGCTGCTTTGCACCTGGGGGAGGGGGGGAACTTGGAATGTGAACTGGGCATAACTCCTTGTAAAACCAAGTATGGCAGGATTCAGGTATATTTACCATTCCGGAATGTACTGTCTCAGCAAAGACCCCTGCAGACGTCTTGGGTAAAGGATAACTCAGGATGCGGGTAGATTGCCCATTCCAGGAATGTATTGTCTTAGCAAAGACCCCTGCAGATGTCGTGGGTGGTTGGGGGAGATTACCTAAGGCTTAATGATACCGGCTATAACATTGCTTGTGCTGACAAGGCTGATCTTTGAATCTATAGGCTAAGGAGTGATGTACTTTTAAATGGATTGGTTAAGAAAGTATATGTTGTTACAAATCTATTGGCTATGAAATGCGTGGGCTTTGCTGTAACAGCCAGTGAAGGCCTATATAAGATCCCCTTTGAAGAAGTTCGGGGTCTTGCCTGATGGCTTGACCCTGGCTAGCCAGCTCAATAAACTACCTGCTTGCTAACTGCATTCCTGCGTGGTCCTTGCTTGTGGTGGGAGATCCAGAGTCGTGCCCTAGGGGCTGGAGCGATAGCACAGCGGGTAGGGCGTTTGCCTTGCACGCAGCCAACGTGACTGGCACAGGTTCGATTCCCAGCACCCCATATGGTCCCCTGAGCACCGCCAGGAGCAATTCCTGAGTGCATGAGCCAGGAGTAACCCCTGAGCATCGCAGGGTGTGACCCAAAAAGCAAAAAAAAAAAAAAAAAAAAACAACAGAGTCGTGCCCTAACACATGGTGTTACAAAGGTCAACAAAAAGCTCCTCATTTAAACTACTTAGCTAGAGTCTCTTCAGATGTTGCAATTAGCAACCCAAAGGAGAATCTTTGGGTATCCATGTAGAATTTCCCATATTTCCTGAGTGCCAGCAATAACCTGTGAAAAAGAAGGAAAAACCTAAAAACAGGATAGTTCCTTGGTAAACTTTTCACCTGGTAATTTCTCCCAAGGGCTAGAAAGATAGCACAGCAAGTAGGGCGTTTGCCTTGCATGCAGCCAACACTGGCCGACCCAAGTTCGATTCCTCTGCCCCTCTCTGAGAACCCGGCAAGCTACCGAGAGTATCTCGCCCCCACGGCAAACTACCCATGACGTATTCGATATGCCAAACACAGTAACAAGTTTCACAATGTTACTGGGCCCACTCAAGCAAATTGATGAATAATGGGAGGACAGTGACAGTGACAGTGACAGTGAATTTCTCCCAAGGGGCTTTGTCCCCTTCTGCCTGGGTTGCTGTAGCTCTAATGGGTTCCAGTGTGACATTGTTGGGGTTGGGAGTTCCCTAGCCCTGGGGGGCATGGAGAGACCAGACAAACAACATTCCTGCAGGAATCCAAGCGGGGGTTTTATTCAGACCAGCATGCTGGGGCTCTGCAACATACCCAAGAGCTGGCAGAGGCTGAGAGCCTCGAACTCAGAAACAGGTCATCTTTTCTACAGTTTGAGAACAAAGACCACATATTTTGCACATATTTTGCCAATACGTGTTCTGCTGGGTTCTTTGCAGTTTTTCTTGAAGTATCTCGATCCAAACATCTTGACCCGGTCACATGGTTTCAGTTTCCAGGATGGTCAAAACACTCTATCTTTAAATAGTTATGTCTAACCCATACCTTACACATCTACTGGGTTCAATCCAATTTTGTAACCCCAAGGCTGCTGAACTGTTTACAGAAAGCAATTTTGCAAGTTAATTCAAGCAAGCAATCATTTTAACTCCTTCCTAGCCTTCCTAGCTCCTTTCAACGTGATTACAACTGCATGTCAGCCAAGTGCTGTTTACCTCAAGTCTGCCTACTGAGTCAGAAAAT